TCATCTGCTGACAGAACTGGGCCTACATTACAAATATAAGACAACATTAAAATCAAAATAATCGTAGGACCTAGTGGTTATAAAAAAACTGTCTAAAGTTCAAGTACTTCAAGGGGAAAGCCAAGAGCGGAAATACTGGATACGACCATGAGAAATACGATAAATCAAATAAGCAAAGGACTGGGAACCCTAAGACGGCCCCTTTAAATTAATTCTGTAAATTCTTTCGATCTCAAGGGAAATAACGCAACTCCTCGTTTGATCCTCGATCCAAATATTTCCTTTACTTGCCCTTTGGTGACACGGATTTTTTTAAACTTTTTTTTCAAGGCTCAGATTGTTCCTATGGGAATTGCCCAGGGAATTTTCTGCACATGACTTGAGAGAGACTTCACTTTGGTTATCTACTTCCGGCAACATAAGGAAATGCTCTAAAGTTTTTTACTGGGCTATGTTACTTGTCATATTTCTATGTGTTTTGTTTTCTGGTGAAGGCTTTAAGCCGAAACGTCTAAATCGTTTGTCCTGTCTGTTAACTCAAGTTTAGCATGCCGCGTACCTTGTTATTATATTTCATTTACACAACTTGAATGCAGTACATCAAATATTATCGCTTCCTCCCAGAGGTGTAGCGGGGGTGTTAGGCGCTCGGGGACAAGACTCGCGCCCGGGGATAAGATCCATCTTAAAGCGCCCCCTTTTCTTTTTTTCAACTCTCAAACCCATAATTTTTACCAATAATATAATATCAAAGCACACTTTGGCACCCCTAACTAGCTTGGGCCCGGGGACATATGTCCCCCCTGCCCCCACCTCGCTACGCCTCTGCTTCCTCCATATGTTCGAGAAAAATATACTTGTACTTGATGAAGTTTCTTGAAAAGATATAATACATTATTTGGATGTCAATATCAAAGAGAACAGCCCTATCATAATATTATGAATCCATTGTTAATTTTTTTTATTTTTTTTTGTAGATCTATTCAATAAGGATTTAGCTATTTTTCCCTGCACGACACACTTTTTTTTTTTCATAATATGAAGTCAAAGTATTGAATGAAGTATCTCTACACCTGTATCTTCCATAATTAATTTTACATCGTGCTAAACAGCTTTCAAAACTTTTGCGTTCTAACTCATTTTTTTTAAATTTGCTTAGGCTTAATATTTTGAACTAAATATCAGCTGAGAGTTAAATTTAACTTTATTGATGCAACTGTTGTGACTTTAGACAGTGGATTAGTTTACTGGTGGACAATGTCTTTAGACAGTGGATTAGTTTACTGGCGGACAATGTCTTTAGACAGTGGATTAGTTTACTGGCGGACAATGTCTTTAGACAGTGGATTAGTTTACTGGCGGACAATGTCTTTAGACAGTGGATTAGTTTACTGGTGGACAATGTCTTTAGACAGTGGATTAGTTTACTGGCGGACAATGACTTTAGACAGTGGATTAGTTTACTGGTGGACAATGTCTTTAGACAGTGGATTAGTTTACTGGCGGACAATGTCTTTAGACAGTGGATTAGTTTACTGGCGAACCGAACGACTCCCCAAATATACTGGGATACATGACAACCTTTGTACAGAAGATATAATTTTACCTCGTTTGCCTTAACACGGTTTTATCACATTTTCATATCAACCCTGTGATTCTTCTACTCTTGGGGTTGTTATAAAATTGAACAGCTAGCATCTTGGGGGTTGTTATAAAATGGAACAGCTAGCATCTTGTGATTGTTATAAAATGGAACAGCTAGCATATTGGGGTTGTTTAATGTCAAGGGTATGAGAATCACTGTTGTTATGTGTAGATCATTGTTTTCATGTTTGATAGGGAAAAGATGTTTAGTTAGAGATTTTATGAGTAGCTGTATCGTGGGTTGTGAGAGTGTTGTGACGTAATTGAGTAAGGGGATATGACGCGTCAGTTTTTGTTGAGGTTGTGATGGAAGATTGATGACGGATATACTGGATGAACTGTTTGGATTTCTATGTTGAGTAGTGTTTGGTTGGAGTAATTGGATTATCAATTCTGACATTATACAACCATAGTTAATGGAGTAGTGTTAAATAAAATCCTATCTAGCTACGAACCTTTTAACGTTGGTTGTATTATTATTATTATTAGCTCTACTGTTCGTGGGATCAAGTGAGAGACTTGGCCAGACAAGTAGACACTCATTGCCATGAGTGAATAATTACAACACAACAGATTCAACGGTTCGACATTTAAAAGTGGCACAGCTAGCCTCTTGGGGTTGTTTTAAAGGGGCACAGCTGTCTGTCTGTGCATTGCTGATGGATTGTCAGAATGTTAGCACACTTTGTTAATGCAAGAGAAGTCAAAAGTTGGCATCTCTTCGCCTGGAGATTCTATTTGTCGCAAGAGACTAGGGCGGTATGTTTGCGATTGTGTTGCAGGTATGGAACATGGACAAGGTTCAAGTGTCATGTACAGTCAAGATAAATGATATTGATAGAGTTGGAATACAATAGTTTGAGAATTAGGGGAAATTAAAGTAAGTAACAATAATCCCATCGCTGGTTGAACGGATTTGCCAAATCTGTAACATCTATTTTGCATAACAAGTTATGTTGAAATAGCACCGACAATGCATAAGAAACTACCACCTGCTCCTCAACAAAAAAGGATTCGTCTAATGCAAGTAGCTGCCCCGAGACAGAGAGAGAGCTTATGGCAATTATTGCTCACATTGACAATGCTTCTATTTTAAGTGCTGAATGGTTAGATGTGGATGATGTTGACTTGTCTGGTATATCAGTGCCGCGAGATGAAAATAATAAATCAGCTGCTAATGACTAGTGTTACGATAGAGCAGTGGTTCTTAACCGGTACTTCGCGGAGCACCGGGTGCTCCGCGAGGTAGTTGCAAGTGCTCCGCGAAATTATGAAACTCAAAATTTAATGTTCACTCACTTACTCTATCTGATTGAGCTGAACAAATGCTTATAATAGGTAGTCCAAACGGGGAAAAATACGTAATCCCTTTGCCACGGTTGATACATCAAATAGTAAGTTGTCATACTCATACCAAGAAGAAGAAAAATTAATCAACCTATCATCGGATCGTACACTTAAAATAAAATTTTCCGAAATGGTTCTGGGGGAATTTTGGATCTTTGTGCAAGAAGAATACTCAGCTCTCTCCATGAAGGCACTTAAAATCTTGTTGCAATTTTCAACATCATATTTGTGTGAACTCGGTTTCTCGATAGTCACCAACATAAAAACTAAAAAACGAGCAACACTTACTAATTTGGATGAAGAATTGAGGGTAGCTATTTCTAAATTTAGGCCTAATAACACTGAAATTTGTAAAAACCGTCAAGCTCAGGTTTCACATTAAATCTTTTTATTTTTCTGAATTAAATTTTGAACAATGTTATTTTTTTACTTATTAAATTTATGTTTATTAAAAAATTGTTTGTCATGTTATAATTTTAAACTCTTATGTTATGATGTTTTATTTTCAATACAAGTCGTACGTATGTGTATTTGTTTGTCATGTTATAATTTTAAACTCTTATGTTATGATGTTTTATTTTCAATACAAGTCGTACGTATGTGTATTTGTTTGTCATGTTATAATTTTAAACTCTTATGTTATGATGTTTTATTATCAATACAAGTCGTACGTATGTGTATTTGTTTGTCATGTTATAATTTTAAACTCTTATGTTATGATGTTTTATTTTCAATACAAGTCGTACGTATGTGTATTTGTTTGTCATGTTATAATTTTCTACTCTTATGTTATGATGTTTTATTTTCAATACAAGTCGTACGTATGTGTATTTGTTTGTCATGTTATAATTTTAAACTCTTATGTTATGATGTTTTATTTTCAATACAAGTCGTACGTATGTGTATTTGTTTGTCATGTTATAATTTTAAACTCTTATGTTATGATGTTTTATTTTCAATACAAGTCGTACGTATGTGTATTTGTTTGTTTTTTTTACTCCTTGATTTTGGTGCTCCCCTAATTTTTGTCATGATCAAAAGTGCTCCCCAACTTCAAAAGGTTAAGAACCACTGCGATAGAGCAACACCTGGCAACCCTGGGAAGATGATAGCAGCTAGAAACTATGCTACAATTGGCAGCTATACTGACAATAATCATATTTCTATTTCCACAAACATTGATATTTAGCCTTTAACAATCTTTTCATTGATTCTGCTTTATAAAATTTAAGTGTAAAAACTTTTTTTAATAAGCTAAAGATGCAACAAATTTTTTCTCCTACAATTTTATGTTATTAAAATAGATCAGCACAAATTAAAATGTATATTTATATTTATTTATATTATAATTCAATTTTTGGGGTTGGGGGTTATACAAATGTTGACATAATGTCTGATAGACTAAGAATAATCTGGTATTTTTTCTGGGGGGGGGGGGTCATTGAAAGTTTGCAGTTTTTGGTTTGGGGGGGGGGGGTGTCAAAAATTGCTTTAAAATTGTTGACGTAATTAATGGACGCCCCCCTACGTTAAATGAAAGTTTGCAGTTTTTGATTTGGGGGGGGGGGTGTCAAAAATTGCTTTAAAATTGTTGACGTAATTAATGGACGCCCCCCTACGTTAACATACTTTTATTTCTGTGTATTTGATTTTGTATTCTTGTATCAGCTTAATAGTATAATTAATTTATTATTGTTAATATCTTTTGTACTGGTTTCCCGTCCTTTGTTACGTACTGTTCATCTAACGAGCCAAAATTTAAAAGAACTGTAACTAATTTAATTTGTTAAATCTGTTTATTCGCCATTATTTGACGTTTTTATACATCTTAATTTGTATTGTGTATATGTATAAAAGGGTCTTCTTATGGGGGCCGTATGCCCTCGGTATGCTACTGTTTACCTTATTATACCAACATTTAAGAAACATGTTTGCTATGATTATGAATACTCTAATCGCGAATATTAATGTTATTTCGGAGGTAACTGATTGATTGGGACAATAATGCTAACCAATCAAGAAACCTACTTTCGATTCCGGAAGTCATTATATTTAATTGCGTTTAGTAAATAGTATAAATAGACCTGCGTTTTGTTTACTATTCAAGTTTCTATCTGATTTTGGTTGAGTGCTTTAAAAAATGCAGCCAGTTGAATTTCAAGGTAAGTTATCGTGTTTAAATTGAATGAGAACAATCATTGGGCTCTAATCAACTTCTTAATCATTATAATGTAGCTAAATTGCTTAGTAAATCAGATGAAAATGACTTAAACTTGAAATGAAAAAAATGTAGTTGTACTTTGTCTTCTTTTCTTTGTCATTTCATAAGGGTAAATCATACTGATTGAAGTGATTCATAATCATAGACTTGTTTTTACTTCTCTTAGTTTAGGTTAGTGTCAAGTTTCAGGCTTAAGACTTGACTTAGATTTATATAGCCGAATCATAGGGCTCATACTCAAAATCTCATAGCCCATCTGAGGCCATCTCTCTATTCAGCGCTCTACATCTACGCTTCAACATTTTTACTGAACTACTCATGGTTTTCATGATGGCACATATCATGTCGGCTGTGTAAAAAAAGAAGCAGTGCAAACACATGACATGTCTGCAAACATGGGGAGGGGAAAAAGTTGAAAAAGAGAGAATGTGCCATTTTAGCAGCTACCTCCTACAGCGAGAAACGAAAATAGAAATAAACAAAACGTTTAAATTTAATGAAACAATTTCAGCCAGTACATTAATTTCATGACAAATGTAGCAACTTTATACTAGATATGTTGCAGGTAGTGTCTACGACCTGCGGTGGCTCGCTTCCCTCAGTACGGTACTTAGGTACCTCAGTACCTGCTGCACTTACACACTGTGGTACAAAAAGTGTAAAATGACGAAAAACAATACAAAATATTTTTAAAAAATGAAAACCCAACTTATAGTTTCATAGAATACACTTTTACACACTTTATTGCAGATTCCAACAAAAATAAAATTCAAAATTTGTCATAACAATAAATACTATACAATACGACACTATACGATACTGTATACCAATTTCACAAATTCTGAAAAATTTAAATATTATACCACCCAATTAAATTATAATTTGAAACATTCCATCCGTGCATTAATATTTTAAAAATAAAAGTTGACTCTAGTAATACTCCAAGAATTTAAGTCTGGCTAATTTAACAACCATCAGTGATTCATCAGTCATTATCATATTCATTTATTTTATATATAGGACTACCTAAGTGATTAGTCCATGCCTAGCTTAATTAATCAATAAAATAGTCCATTCCTTATGATGTCGAAAAGTACTTGTAAATCTCCTGTCTTTTCATGAGGTTTTTAGTGTTGATCTATTACATGCTAAATGATGACTACCATATTTTTGCGCATATAAGATGCACCCAAATACAAGAATTGTGTAAAAAATATTTTACATGAGGCGCATCCCTATTTAAGACACACCCATCTATAAGACGTGAGTTTTGAGGGTTTGTGTAAACAAAAATACGTAAGAGGAACGCGGCCAAGCTCTCAGCTGCACTGAGCAATTCATATCCAGTGGTTTTATTTCCTTTATCATAAATGAAAATTTATCCAATGCTTCTTCACCCATCGGGTGTAAACAAGGCTTCATCACCATTTTTAGGTTAGATCAAAGAATTGTCTGAGGCAGGACCGCAGTGTTTATTTTTTATTCTTATCTGCCACCATGCCAATAGCGGTTGGGTTGAGTACCTGGTATCTAGATTCCAGCAACAATAAGCGCCAGAAGTAAAGGCAGCTTCATTGATTTACTAGGCCAAGCCTTCAGCGAGTGGGATTAGTATCGTATATAGACCAATAAATGCCAGATGTATGTGGTTAGCATATATAAACATGGGAATAGTCTCTTGTTACCGATGTATATAAATGAAGCACACCTAATAATAAGACGCACACATATATAAGACACACCCTGGGTGCGGGATATGTAAAACTTTGTATAAGACACGTCTTATATAAACAAAAATAGGGTACTTGAGTGGGTTATTTCAGTTTATGGGCACTTGATACCTAACCATGTATCTGAGGGATTCGCTAAAGTTTATCTGTTCCCCTATTAACATTATGTATAACATAAAATGGCGGATTTGGAAATTAAAGCAGTGCTCAACATGATCTGTGAAATCTCTTTACCATACAATCATAATTTACCAATCTAATTATAATATATCTTTAAATGCATTTATTGTACAAATGATACTTTTTGTGAAATTATTCAAATGTTTTGAGGAGAAGTAGTAAAATAAATTCTTAATTCTTTTTAAGCAAGTACAAGTTAGTACAGTAGCACTAGTAAGGCTATGTAATTACATATAATTTATTTTATTTAGGTCATATATTTATATTATTTATGTCATGTGCATAGTTTTATGTTATTCTTGTAAAATGGTCGCCCAAAATAATATTCTTAGTCTAAAGAGAACTATGAAGTGTTTCAATTAAGGCCTGAGTAATCAGCAAAAAGTACATCTTATTTCAAATTTTATTTAATTTTTATAATTTATTAATTTAATCTAATGGAGATTTGGTTGTAACATGTAGAAAATCATTTTTGATTTAAACTATACTCTTTTAAAACTTGTGATATTTTTCCAGGTTATATTGCAAAATTTGGCAAGTCATCAGACAACCTTCGAACCGTATGTAAAAAATGTGGTTTCGGTAAGCTCAGGCTATGACTTATTTTTATTTTTTAACGGCCGTTTTTTATTCCCCCCCCCCCCCAAGTGGTAGAATCCATTTCCCCCTCCACTCCCGAGACCTTTGGAGTTGTTTAATTCTGTAAGTGGTGACCTGCCAGTCATGGTATTGGTGTTTGATTATGCGTAGATGCCTCTGGTATTAAACTTTAATTTCACTATAATGATTAAAAAATAATTATGATAAAATACAAAATTTTATATTCAAACTATTTGTTTCCAGTTTAATTTCTGTGATAACTTGAATTAGCTCTTAGGGTTGCTAAATCAAGGAATATTTTAACTGAATTAGCTCTTAGGGGGCTAAATCAAGGAATATGTTAACTGAAGTGTGTTTCAAAAACATTTTATTATTTGATAAAGCTCTATTAAAAAATTGTATTTTCAGCTGGTCATTTGACTTATCAGTGCAGAAATTTTTTAAAAGCTGATCCAAGCAAAGAGGTAGTGTTGGATGTCAGCAGCACTAGTTCAGACTCTGACAATGAACCATTTGTATCACCATTAACAAACTTAAACCAAGGTATAGTATAATCAGGGTTAAATCTAAAACTTAAAAAATGCAAATTCAGTATGGCTATAATAACTTTTCAATTAATTAATTTTATTCATCTCCTATGACAAAAAACAAAGTAGTTCAAGATTCAAATATGTGTAATAAGCCAATGCTAGTTTTAATGTTGCAGTAGTATTTATATTTGTTCTTTTCACAATGTAGTTTGACCAAGTTATTTTATTGAATCATTGGCTTCTGCCATAAATCATTTCCCATAACCTGTAACTTTTTTTTTTAAAGATGAGGCTAAAGCAAATTTTGAAGCTCAGAAGGAGGAAACCCATAAAAAGAAAAGATCCAGAAGGTGTGTAAAAAATTTCCTTTTATGGTGAACCAGTATAGCAATAAGCTCAAAAACTAAGTGTAATCTCACATATAATTGATGTCTGCACAGGCTAGTCATTCAGACCCAATGGTCAGCACTGAAGAGATACCACGACCAGAGTCTGTGAAGTAAGACCAGTGAGACTCTGTAATCAATTTAGAAATATAATTAAATTTATGCTTATATTGTATTTATCTTCTGTGACCATTGCATCATTATTATGATTGGCATGAATTGAACTTGCAGCGCTTAATTACTTTCTTTGACATCAGTGATCCTTGAGATGTCTGTTTGCTGTGCTCTGTATAATGGAGATCATACCAACTGATATAGAACTTACTTGCTGGCCTTTCACTATATACATATGCAGTGTTGTTTTGATAAACCTAATTATGAAAGACATTTCTTTTTATTAAGTTTATTGTGCTCAAGTTTCAAAGATATTAAAATATCCTATATGCTGTACAATGTGTTGCCTTGTAAAATTAAAAGTATTACCAATATGTGGAATCAATATGGTAATAGTTAGTTTTTAATGGCTGGTATTGTCAAATTAAAATTTTATCTATGTGTTTTCTATCTTTATGTAGTCATGAATCAAAAAAAAGAAAACGAAGCAAGTCCAAGAAAGACATGAAGAAAAAGAAACATAAAAAATCCAGATCCTCTGATTCAGAGAGTAGCATAAGTCATGAAGAAACCAGAAAAACAAAAAAGAAAAAGCACAAACATAGAACTGATAAGTCAGACAGCAGTGATGAAGGTTCAGATGTCTCCAGCGATGAGAATAGTCACAAAAAGGTGAAGAAACACAAGAGAAGAAGGAAACACAGGCATTCGGAGAAGGTTGATAGATCAAAGGGGGAAAATAATAAAGCATACAGTAATGAGGATATCAGTAGCAGCTCTGATGAAGATTCAGACTCTGATAGCAGTAGCAGGGAGACAAGGAAGAAAAAGAAAAAACGAAAACATAGATAGATAATGAGTTACTAGATATGAAAACTTTATGTGCATGAATATTTTAGCACTGAACCAGTACTCACTTTTTTACAACTTGGCCATTTTCATTTACCAAATGGTTAAAAAAAAATCACTATGTCCAAATGTTAACTTATGGTAAGTGGAACAGTCCTAACAATAATTGCTCAAGTTGTTATGTCAAGAAAAAAGATTGTTTTTTAATGTTAAAGTGTTAAGTAATGGTGTACCTTTACAAGGGTAGAAAAAATATGTACACATTTTTTAGAACAGAGTGGGAAAATTCATGTGCTCTGTAGAAAATATTGAGGCACAATGTGGACCTGGCAATATATAATTGTTCATTCCTTTAATTCTATATTTCAGCTTGGATTCTAAGATGCTCTTTCTTTTCCAGTAATATTTACTGTTTCAAATCACATTTATTGTTTGATTTGTTTATGAGCTGAAATATTTACATTAATGACATAAGTTGCCTTGTTATTGGTTACTAGTTTAAAGTAATTCTGGTTAACCGTTAATCGGATTAAATATTTCATTGTTTTTCAATAGAACATTCTAAAATTTCTTGATGGGTTTAATCAATGATATTTTTACATTCTTTTTAATAAGTATGAAGCGGAATGTGGACACAATGGTATTGCTACAAAATATTCTGTTACAGGACATATATTTGTTGTTTTTTTTTTTTTACTGATTCAAAGCTAATAATTGGAACTGGAGTGAATTTTTTTTTTAAATTGAGCAAATATATTCAACTCTGGGAAATAACCTATGTAAATGGTATTGCTACAAAATATTCTGTTACAGGACATATATTTGTTGTTTTTTTTTTTTTTACTGATTCAAAGCTAATAATTGGAACTGGAGTGATTTTTTTTTTTAAATTGAGCAAATATATTCAACTCTGGGAAATAACCTATGTGGGTGTCAATGAATTATCAATGAAGTTTTAAGTTTGAAATGGATTGGATTTGAAAGTTTTATTTCAAAATGAATGTTTGGTGGTGCTTTTAGAAAATTTACTGATCACATTTAAGGAAAGGTAAAAAATTCAATGTGCCTTTCTCACATTTTTTTGTTTAGACCCTTAGTTTATGAAAGTTATTAAATGTACCTTATGTACTGATACATAATATTTCCCATAATGTGGCTGGAATTTCTTTTAATGACCTAATGTCCTGTAAAAAAAATAATAAAGATTAATATTTTGACAAAATACGCATGAATTTAATATATCGTTCTTTTACATGCAATATAATTGTTTTATGGAGTCATTATAAAATTATATGTTGTGTATTAATGGGATTGTACTCTTTAAATGAAGTAGTTCCAGAGTCAGTCTTAAAATCAATTTAACACCAATGAGTACAGAAGCTTAATAATTCCTACCTCTTCTAGTTACATTTACTCTTTAAGTAAATATTTTCACTAAGGGAGGGAGGTTTTATCATATATCTGCTGGGGTGATGTTGTCTACCATCATTTCCAGCCTGCTATTATCTCTTAGATGTATATTGGCTTGTGTTGTTTATAGTTGAAAGGGATGAAAAACTTTGAATGGGTTTGGCTCGTTTGTAGTTTTTGTAGTGTTGCGTTTTCTGTTTTAATGTGGGAAAATATAGATTGTTTCATTTCTCTTTTAATATGGTTAACTTTGTACCGCGCTTCGAGCCTTTGGGGATGAAGCGTGATTTTCAAATAAACTTTAGTATTATTATTATTATTTCTTTTAAAAGTTCATCCTATGATAATTCATCATAGAAAGGGGTTAATTTTGAAACGGACACCAATAACTGTTCTTTATTTGTTGTTAATAGACTATGGGGGGGTTGAACATTCCCAAACATATCTGCTACTTCTTTGATCGCTGATGATCTGATCTGGGTTTCACAATGAAAGCATCTCCCTCACAATGTTCCCTTTAAGCTGCGCAGCTATCTCACAGAAGCCTGGCCACAGTTTTGAGTATCGCAGCTATCTCACAGAAGCCTGGCCACAGTTTTGAGTATCGCAGCTATCTCACAGAAGCCTGGCCACAGTTTTGAGTATCGCAGCTATCTCACAGAAGCCTGGCCACAGTTTTGAGTATCCCAGCTATCTCACAGAAGCCTGGCCACAGTTTTGAGTATCGGCGCAGCAAATTTCCATGTAAGTGTGTGTTTGTGTAAGTGAGCTGTAAAATTTGGCACGCAACAAAATTGATGCTGTAAAACTTTGCACACAGCTGTATAATTTTGCACATGAGCCAGCAAACCTTATAAGGAACATTGCTCCCTCATGTTTTCTTCTCGCAGAGTGAGGGTCCAGCATCTAGTCATTATTCTCCTGCCATTCTCTTCTTAAACTTTAATGTTCTCTCTATCAAAATTCCAAATTGGTCTGATTTGAAAAGTGCCTTTTAAATAGCATGTTCCACCAAGTGACAGTGCTTCTCGGGCAGAAACAATCTTAAGACTTCTTCTCGGGCAGAAACAATCTTAAGACTTCGAGGTTAATTGGTCACCACTTTGCCTTTAGTTTGCAGATACTGCTGAGTAGGAGTAACTTCTTCAAGCATGTAAAAGACATTGTGCTGTATGAAAATCGTGCAAAGATGTTTAAAAAGTGTGTGTGGGGGGGGGGGGGCCCTAGGGAGGAATTTGTGAAAATAGTAATTTTTGAATATTTCTGGGGTTCTATTTATTTAGTTTCAAGGAAGTTTTCTTTTTAATTTAAATCGTGCAAAGATGTTTAAAAAGTGTGTGTGGGGGGGGGGGGCGCTAGTGACGAATTTGTGAAAATAGTAATCTTTGAATATTTCTGGGCTTCTATATATTTAGTTTCAAGGACGATTTCTTTTTAAATTGAAATAAATTTAAATTAATTACTAAAAGATATAAATTTTTAAAAATATAATTTTGTAAACCTTATAAATGGGTAAAATATCATTTTCTTTATTTTTACCGATTGGATTCATGTACTGAGAATTGCCCGACCACAACGTATTTATTTGGTATTAATGGACATCTTTATTTCTCAGAATTAAGATAATATATTGAAGTTCCTGTCACTTCAATCGGCTTTGAATCATTGTAAAAATGGTGTTTTCTGACCTATTAAAGAGTCACCTCATTTCTGACGGATCAACCTTGAACTTTGAATAAAGCATGCATTTGGATTGGTTACGCGTGTGAAACATTTACGTGTGATTGGTTATCCTTTTATGAAGTTCGGTAGTGTGTGCTCTGTAAATATGCAATTTTTCAATTGGGTGTCACCCCTGGGATGGTTTCATCCGGTGCGGTCCACACACCCCACACCTCCTAGCTAGCCACTGAAATTAGACCCAAAATGTAACTGTATGATATGCTCTTTCTTTAAATGAATTATTTCCATACATCTTAAAACCTAAATTCTTTTCAGTTACGTTTACATAAGCTATCTCTCTCTCTTTCTCTCTCTGTTTCTCTCTCTCTCTCTTTCTCTCTTTCTATAAGTGACGGCCAGTGACTTAATTTAGCAGCAAGTGTGTAGGCATTAGTTTAATATTGTGCAAAAATAAATACATACACCTACACACAGAACGAAAACGTATATATATAGATAAAAAATTTATTCTTCAATTATATAGAAATATTACTATTATTATCTATATTTTATCATATTCATAAAAGTATCAGCGTCGGCCTTTAGGGTGTGCGACCTGTGCCCTTGCACGCGCCCATAGTTCCTACCTCAAAGGGGCAGATTATGGACGAACCCAAGGTGATGTGGAAATGGACGAAAGTACCGTAGAAAAACTAAACAGTCGAAATCGGTGTTTCCCAACGTGGGACCCACGTCCCACAGAAAGATTTTAAGGGCAGGTTTGATTGTTTAGAGGGGCAATTCGAAAATGAGCAGTCTAGAATTTGAAAACCAACCGTCTTTAGGCGCGTTGGACGGCCAAACATAGTTTCAAACATTAAAGAGAAAAAAAATGGGGGAAAAAACAACCTTAAAATCTTTCTTTGCTGCTCATTCTGCAACTGTCAATCGTACTCTTGAGGCTACCCGGTACCTGAAATTTCTTTACTGATAGCTAAATCTGGGGGAAATCTTACTATAGGGTGTCACAAATGACTGGGGCGGGGGTTAACAACAGAGCTCCATTGTTCTTCAGATAAGTTTTGGGGTGAATGGAAATGGCTGTGATTTTAGGGAGGGAACTGTTAGGCGCATGGGGGTAAGGCTAATACATTCTCGTATCTTTTAGATTAAGGGGATGCTTCTTTCCGAAACATTATGTCTCGGGTTTCCCAGACTTCGTGTGACAACTTTGGGGTTAACGACGGAAGTTCCTAATTGACCGGAAATGAGGGGGGTATGGATGGGTTAATTGCCAGCATTCCTGGACCACCTAGGGAGGTAGAGAATGGTATATAACATAGAACTCTTCGTGGCATAGGACAGAGGGAGAGATTCGTGGACGGTCGTTCTGTTGTGACAGACGAAGTGGTACTAGCTGTAGTCAGAGATAGAATTAGGGATAGACGGATAAGTGTTAACAGTTAGAAAAGAGACATTACAATCTTATTATGGTGATCAATACATCTTTTACTTATAACTGTTAATGAGGAGTTGTTTAGTCATTCATTCTTGTTCTGTGTTCTCTTCGTTGTACTTCTCAACGCCTGGACTAGTGAACCATCACAGAGAGGAACGGCTCCATACTATCCACAATACCACCAACGCCACGCGGTATATGACCATAAGTACGGGCCATACCTCATAATACCATCTCTTCTGTGACTTAGGGGAATATTTAATCAAACCATCAATATCAGCATTTCTTAAAACTGTTCTGGAGAAAAATGACAAAGACGTGAATGCTGTGCCGCTCAGTACCAATTCTGTTAGCTAAAGAAATATATAGGGAAAGGCTGCGGGACCTGATGGCATCCCAGCAGAGGCACTGAAGGCGGACCTGGAAACCAGTGTGGAAATGCTACACCCTCTGTTTATGAAGATATGGGAAGAGGAGCAAGTTCCTTCCGATTGGAAAGAGGGATACCTTATCAAGATCCCAAAGAAGGGAGACTTAAGCTCCTGCTCGAACTACAGAGGGATCACCCTGCTGTCCATCCCAGGAAAGGTTTTCAACCGTGTACTACTTAACAGGATGAAAAACGCTGTAGACCCTCTGTTGCGGGACGAACAAGCCGGCTTTCGCACCAACAGATCCTGCACGGACCAGATAGCGACACTGCGCATCATTCTAGAGCAGTCACTAGAGTGGAACTCGCCGCTCTATGTCAACTTTGTTGACTATGAAAAAGCCTTCGACAGTGTTGACAGGCAAACCCTGTGGAGATTGCTAAGGCATTACGGGGTGCCACAGAAGATTACTGATATAATCAGAAACATGTACGAAGGGATAAACTGCCGAGTTATCCATGGCCAGCAGTTGACAGATGCTTTCCAGGTGAAGACTGGTGTGAGACAAGGTTGCTTGCTGTCACCATTCCTCTTCCTGTTAGCCATTGACTGGGTGATGAAAACATCTACACAGCAGAAAAGGAATGGCATCCAATGGACCTTGTGGGATCAACTGGATGATCTTGACTTTGCTGATGATCTTGCACTTCTTGCACATACCCAACAACAGATGCAGGAGAAAACAAACATTGTCGCAGCCACTTCTGCTAGCATGGGTCTCAACATTCACAAAGGGAAGAGTAAAATCCTCAAGGTTAATGCCACCAGTACATCACCCATTATGCTTGAAGGAGAAGCCCTTGAGGAGGTGGACAGTTTTGTTTACCTTGGCAGCATGGTAGATAAACAAGGTGGTACAGATGCGGACGTCAAAATAAGGATAGGAAAAGCAAGAGCAGCCTTCCAACAACTCAAGAATGTTTGGGTCTCTAACAACTTAGGCAGCAAGTTAAAAGTAAGGATTTTTAACGCTATGGTAAAACCTGTGCTGCTATATGGAGCCGAGACATGGAGAACAACGGCCGTAAACCTGACCAGAATCCAGTCCTTCATCAACAACTGTCTAAGAAGGATTCTCAGAATTCACTGGCCAGACAAAATCAGCAACCAGGAACTGTGGCAGCGGACAAAACAGAAACCCATTGAGGAAGAGATTCTCCAGAAGCGGTGGAGGTGGATTGGTCATACACTAAGAAAACCTGCTTCTAACACAACAAAGCAAGCCCTGAAATGGAACCCACAGGGTAAGCGGAAAAGAGG